AGCTAGCTTATGCTTAGTACATAACTTAAGATTCCCTAAGAAGGCACTGGGCATAAATGAGGTTGTTTGTATAAACAATTGCACAGAATAAACTACTTGATCACTTTGGGAAGGATGAGAGCATTCTCATAATCCAAGTCCCCAGACACAAGTTAAAGTTCAAACTTGCAAGCTGAGTTATGGATCATGTCTGATAGGTTTGCTCTTTCTTACACATTTGTTCTCTGTTTGGCTCCTAGAGTTGTGATTGAAAGTTCTTGAATGACTCCAAACAGGCTTTAAGCTATTTTATCCAATGTTGCTTGTTTTCACAGAGAGTTGGTCTGCTGCAGAAGTCTGTTTATTTTCCCTTCTCTGTGAAATACTGTATTTGAGAAATGGTAGAATTCAAGGCTTAAGATGATAAGATTCCCCCTACCCCCAGAGCACCTGGGGAATTTCTTTAATACAGTTTTAGAAATTGAGATGATTTAAGGCTTCACTGAATTCCCTGAATATGTTGTGTCTGTGGGAAGAGTTGTACTGTCAATTAACTTTACTCCTGTGGTGAAGTTTTTTAAGGTCCTAACCAAGCATAGACATTTTCTCAGACCTCTCCCATGAGTCTACCCAGCAGGCACTAGTATTCAATGTTTTTCTTCCTACTCTCTTGGAGCAGTAGAAAGATGGCTTGTTGGTTTATTCTTCTACAATCAGTGTGCTAATGTAGGGCTTGCCTCTTTTGAGTTTTCATGTTTTAAAAAGTCTCTATAGAAGAGCAGAGGGAGTATAGTTTCAAATGTTAAGCACTTGCCTAGCAAACATTAGACACTGAGTTCAATCGTCAGTACTGAAAATAAAAAAAATCATAGTAAACAATAAAAGGAAAGTTTTGGTTCAGTTTAATCTACTTGCCAATGGAATATTTGATATTAACTACCTATTACTGGAAGTGAAATTCTATTTTGCCTTATTCTTAACCTTGAAAACAAGGCCCTAACAAGCGATATTTTGTTGAATAGGGTGGTATTACACCCAGAGGTACTGCACACAGGGAAGGCAAGTCTAAATACAGATTCAGAGGAGGGGTCTATTCCATGAAGTAGCTGCTTCTCCCTGGGAGAAGAGAACTGATAAAAAAAAATCAGTCTCCCACTAAGCAACTGCCTGGGCACCCTAGATTATGAGATCTTCTGATTGGTCCTAACAGTGGCAATAATCAAGGCAGCCTTTATGAAAAGATTTCAGTCTCTGCATAGCCACTTTGTTGATAAGCTGATTGAGCAGAATAGATACCAAAGATCTCTACTGACATCTTCCATTGTCTTGACCATCTACTTATTTAGTACCTCCTTCACAATGGGGCCTTTGTTTAGCATTGATATTGGTGACACATTAGAGTCTGTTTTGAAGAAATCCAATCATACATTTAGCTCCCATATTTTATCATGTATCCTACAATCCCATTACTTCCATGTCTTTAACAACCTGGGTGATGTAAAAGGTATACAGATCTATACCTTAGGATACCTCTTCTTCTGAGAAAGCGGAAACATTGCTAAAACTTTCCAACTGGAAAGGATCCCTTTCCTCACCTTCATCTAGAATGCTCTTTGATGGGGTTATAATAGTACCCTCTACTCCTACCAAAGAGGAGCTGACTTGTTTTCTTCTTTAGTGAACTGGAAAATAGATGGTTTCTTAGTGCAGGTATAGTTTATAGATTTGCTTTCTGCCTTGTTCTCTCTTTTCAAACATTTCCTGCCTTATCAAATGCAACCTGGTTGATATAAAGGAATTAAAATTCTTCAGAAATATACATGGAAACAATCTCATCCATTGTTTCAGAACTAATGATTTTCTCTGCACCATGCTAGTCAGTATTAGTTTCAATCTTCATCAACCTGACAGGTTAAAAAATTAATTTTTAAAATACAATTTTATTGTTATTATAAGGTGTTGCACAGAAGGGTTATCATTTTTAATTTGCTTTTAAACCATAGTTTTAGTACCACAATAACCAGAGCTTAGCAACAAACTGCAAAATAGATAATGATTTGGTTTTAGAAAGCTTTAGTTTTATTTTAAAATTTTAAGAAATATGGGACAAAAGAATTTCAAATGTAAGTCTTCTTGATAGTACTTACTTGCTATCATCCTTTACTAAGTGTTACTTTTAAAATGTGAGAATTCTAAGTGTTTGAGGTTTAGCTTTGCAACAAGGTGACCTCAAGCAGGTCACCTACCCTTTTCAGAGCTTCAGTTTCCTCTTCTGTAAAATGGGGGTTCTACTCATTTTATGATTATTTTGACTACTAAATGAAATCATAATTTTAGTTACAAATATTAGCCATTACTACCACCACAATAATAATGCAAGGGAAATTACTGAATGACTAAGATTGACTATAGTCCTTCTTTATAACTATGTAATAATAACAGTGTTAGCAAAATTACATAATACTGGTAATAAACAAGTTAAATCAACTATTTATCAGGAGTCCTGAAGCCACTAGAAGAATTTGCATTTCATAGAGCCTACACACTACGAAATTTGGTCTGGGTCATGTTCTGTACAAGCTTTCTACTCCTCCTCCTCCTCTTCCTTCTATCATTATTATCTATTTTTATTTTCTTATACTTGTCAACAAAGGGAAGACATTCACATTACATATGTATTTTATTCTATACCATATGGATAATGCTATACTGACCATTTATACAATAGCTTCTACAAGTCCTCTTCTAAGAGTAACACGGAAAATATTTCCTAAATTACTTAGCTTCTTAGATTAAATGGAATTATCTAAATACATAATCAATTACTCACCAGAATTTTAACAAAATCTTATTTTTAAGTATTTACAATGCAATACATACAATCATTGCAATTTCCTAGTGCAAATAAATGAAATTCTAAAGTAAAATTTCTAAAGTAAAATAATACATTAAAGACTTGTTCTTGATTCATTTCCAAAGCTAATATCAACGCAACTCACTCATTCATTGAATTTCTAAATACCTACCATTTACAAGATCCTTTGCTAGACACTAGGCTACATAATGGCCATATACAAGATAAACTCATATTAAAGTTAAAAGATCAAGAAATGTTATCTAAACTTGCCTGTGTTTCTGGTAGGACAAATAATCAGCCATTGCTGTGTGACCCATGGAGCTCCTCTTCTTTGGATGGGCACTAACTTCTGGTGTTCCTTAGCTCTAGGCCATGTAAACCACAAAGCCAGGAATGAGATGTCACTGTCCTGAGCTTATCCCCAGCAGCTCTCAGTGGCTCAACTCATCTAAGTCTTCCTCCTTTGCTTTCTTTCTCCACATCATGTCATTCGCAACTTTTTAGTGTCACTTTTTAATGAATAAAATAATCTGGAAAATATTTTTATAGTTTTTATTTCAATAAAACAAGAGGCAACACTTGATGTATAAAGTACTACATATGGAGAACATTTACATCAATGTACAAAACTTCCAAAAAGCTAAACTACAATTTATTCCAGAGCCTAAAAAAGGTCAGGAAAACACATAAAAATAGCCAGTAATGTTTATTCTTTAGGAATGTAAAATCTAAGAACACAGAAACAAGTATGCTTGCTGGGAAAAAATATCACTACATGTCTGAGAAAGTAGGAAGTACACAAGATGCTCCATAAGAAAAGAAACAACAGTATGTGAAATAGAATCTCGAGGCTAGTAAAAAGCACATATTCAGACACAGGTGCACTAGCATCCTGTTATGAAAAATACAATACATCTTCAAAATGTTCACTACTAGTCTTTTTAGATAAGCACAAGCTACAAAGTAAAAAGACAACATATTAACGTTCTCTGGTAAAAATTTAACAATATTAAATGTAAATCTCAATCACTGTAAATATTCAGTATAATTTCACTAAGCAATGTCTAAAGGTATAAATTCATGCTAAAGTATTAGAGAGCTTTAACTTTTCATTCCAAGATTAGGAAGACATTATTATACATTATCCTCTATCTACAATGCTTAATTCAAGTACATACATGGTTATTTGTGTTTTTTAATTTTTAAAATATTTTTTAGTTACATTATTTAACATATACTTCCTTGATGTGCTTTTCTTTAATATAGATTTACTGTGCCTTTGGGCCCAAATATTTACCTGTCTTAAGTTTTAGTTTAAAATTATGTCTCAAGTTATTTTTTTCTAAAATTTAACACTTTAGTTATATTTTTTCTAAACATGGCAAAATCTTGTACATTTGGGACCACTTTCACCTATTTTGGCTTAATATATATATATATGTATATACATATCCCTTTAATTCAACTTTTGAAAGAACGAGAGTAAAGTTTGCTGAGCAGTTGCTTCATAGTTAAAAAGGGTGATGGAATACTGCTTTTTCAAAATGAACTTTAGTTATCATGTAAGGACTAAAAATTTATACTTCACAAGTCTACCTTTAAAAGTTCTGGTGGTATACAAGGGACCTCAAGGGTGCTTACTTGCAGCTTCAGGGAGAGAAAGGTAGACACTTGCCTGGGATATTTTGGGACACTCCCTGCTTGGATTCCAAGAAGCTAGTGCTGGGTCCAACATCACTAGAACACCCAGGCAGCTGTTTAAAGTGCCACAGATTGAGTGCCTTCAAGAATCCATTCAGGTTTAAAATATGGAATGGAGCTGTAATACCTTGATAAATGGTGTTACTCTGGATACACAAGAGATCTGTGACCATAGCATCGTTATAAGGAAGAGACCTATAAAGCCAGCCCGTCTTTCCAATTTGACAGGTGGAGTAGAAAATGAGTAGTAAGAATAAGAACAAATTTTCACTGTTTATAATTTCCAATTTTATAAGTGCTATAAAACTTTCAATGTGTAATCCTCACTGCAAGTGTTATCAAAGGTACTATTATAAAAGGCTTTATTAATATATTCCATGCTTCAAAAAAATCAATTGGTACAAGTCATTTGGAGCAAAAATCAGAATTACTCCAGTGAGTAACCTTCAGAGATTTTTTAAAAAAAGAATACACACACAAATCTGTTGTACATTGTGCAAAAATTTAAGTACAAAAGGGATAAACTTTCATACTTAAAATTGTAGGCGTCTAAACATCTGATTTCACTTATGATTAGCAAGAAAAGTACAAAATGTTACATTTTCAATGCAGAAGTAAATGAGAATCATTACAAATTCAGACTTAGAAGATTTAATAAGTCCTTTATCATGTTAGTAAAAAGTTAAATAGCTGTCAAAAACAATGACGATTATAATGATCTAGTATGTAATATACTTGATCAAGCTGAGAGCCTATGCATTAGACAAGTAATTTGTTTGCACTCTAATACTCTCTTCTCAAATATTAATGTTCATGAAATCAGTTGGATCTAGTTGGAGTGCCAATTATGACTCAATAGGTCTGGCCCTTAAATTCTGCATTTTTAACAAGATGCCAGTTGATATCAACTCTACTGGCTCTCAGAACACATGACTAGGAAAGACCTAAATTCTAAAAAAATACCAAAATGAGATTTCAATACATCAAAATCTCTCTCATTTGTGCCATCTAATGTTTCTTCAAACCTATTCTTTGTTCCTAAGCACCTAATTTGCTTAAATGCCAATATTTAAATATTTTCTAATAATATCAATTACTAGTAGATAGCTAAGCATAGGGGAATTAAACAATCATAAGACAATAGAGATTCACAGCAACATTGCACAGATACTCAAAGTTATACATAGGATTACTATTAATCCAATATCAACTTTCACTGTCCAGTTGCTTACATTTGTTTACAATAGCTCTTATTCCAGTCTGTTACTGGAACTAAAACTTGCCAAAATCGAATTTGCAAAAAATTACAGGTCTAATGAATGAAATCTAGTTCTTCATGATTTCTGAAGAATTAGGTTTAAACTGGAAGGCAAAGCAGTTATGGTCAAAACTATTCAGAGTGTAAATGCTTAGTACTCTTCAACACATACAAGTTTTTCATATATTTGAGCTGTGCAAATGCAGGGTTAAGGGGAAAATTCTATCATGTTCTGCCTGTGAGAGACCATGAATAAGGACAACATTGTATACTAGAAGTCAAAGAGCCTGGAAGTTGGCAGCTTCCTATCCTAGACCTACCTCCCCAGAAGCTGATTCTCATCTGCAGCCCAGCTTTTTCTCTCCAGATTATTACTCCAAATTATTTAAATATACTAACTTTACAGAGAAGCTCGACTCTACATGAAATGACCACCACCAGCAAAAACAGAACTTCCTCTTCCTTTTACAGGTCATATAGTTCCCTAGAGCTACATATAAATTTGTTAGCTTCTGCCAGCTGACCTTTACTATTTTTATTTTTTGGTGGAGGTAAATGATGTTCTTCCTACAACATAACAACTTAAAATACACCTGCTCACAAACAAGAAATATATTTATTTTTTATATTAAACTTAAGAACACAATTATAAACAACACTAAGTTAGTTAATATGCAAATGTCTTTGTCCATATCTCACTACCTTCATTTTCTTTCATTACATTTTATACATGAGAAATGTATCTAATTTCCTTCATTTACTGACAAACAATTCAGTATAATACAATTGATACTAGTATCTTGACAGATGTGTTGCAAGATTTATGATGATCTCCAAAAAATCCGTCAGTGACATGTGCTATGAATTACAGGAATCCAACCTAACTAGGATTTCCAAAATCAAGCAGCAGGATCAGTCTACTTTTTGGCCTATTCCACTCTAGGTTCTGAGAGATCTTTTTACCTGCAGAATCCAGATAAAAAACTTCAAAATATCTACCATTAATCTGATTTTTGACATAAAAATGTTCAAAGATAATAACAGAAATGTACCTACTCATTTCCTGGAATCACACCATAGTTCAGGTACTGAGTTGTTAGGCATTTCCCAGCAGTTTGAACAAATTGTTCTAATCTTAAAGATGATCTGACTATAAATATTTTAATCAGGCACTTTTCATTCTCATCATTTTTGTTTTCTCACAGGCCTGTTTTTCAGGATAGCCTGGAAGGCTAGCTGTGGAATTCTGGAACTGGATCCTCGGCCTCGTGCCTTATAAAAGTTACCTTTATGTGGAGACCCACTTTGACACCTAAGGACATTGGTATAAAAAGCAAACTGACAATCTCACATGGTTGTAACCAACTTGATCAATTTGGCAAAATTTATTGTCACACTGACAACTTGGGGCAACAGTATCAAATAACAAAAGAAAAAGAAAAAGACAAGGACTCAAACCAAGGCGGTAAATACAACCAAGAGATAATAAAACCATATTTAGCCTGCTGCAAACTAGACATTCCCTCATAAAGAGAGCCTTTGGAATTTAGGACACCAGGGCTCCTGACAGAAGTAGGCATGAAAGACCAGAGACATTTTCATAAAGAAGTAGTCATGTTTCTAGATTCCATGTTTCTAGATTCACTGAAGAAAAAAATATGTTACAAATTAATCTGTGGACAGAGTAATGCTAATACTAGGAGGTCTCTGTTGACCTGCTTGATATTTCATTGGAAGTTCAGTCCTTTCTGAAACATAAATAAGCTTTTCTTCTTGGAGACTACAAGCAGAAAACCTATTGGCATCTGTCCCAGTGCCACAACCAACAGTAGATGTTGGGTTATGTGGGACTGTGACACCACTGACTTGTTCAAAGGATTTACTAAATACAGTTGCCGCAGTCTTAGCCAAACCATGGCTACTGGGCTTAGGCAGGGATTGGCTGGTGGTTAAAGTTAGTCTCTTCAAGGAGAGAAGCTCAAGATTCTCACTTTGGGCTCTCTGAGTCTGTTTTCGAGCAAAGTGATCTTTGCAAGATTCCCCAGTAGTTTCTTTTTCTTTTCCTCCAGTTTTGCTTCCTCCTGACCGTCTCTGGTTCTTTCCTACACTTGTCTTGTTACTACAATTGTGACTACTGTTTGATAAACCCGACTGGCTGGTACTAGAGGCAGCCCTGGAATAAAATCCCTCGTCAACTTCAGAAATCTCCATCAGTTCTTCTTGACCTGTTAATTCTGTATTTCCTAAACAAAGAAATGACAAAGATTAATTAACATTAAGTAACTTATGCCATTTTCTTTAAGAAGATTTATACCAAATCAATTATATTTAAGACAATTATACTTTGAGCATAATTTTACAAAGCATTAGGTTACAGAAAAAAAATCAAGTGATAAATCAAAACATTTTATTAAATGTCAGAATATTTCATTGTAACTTAATAACAGTAATTTATAGTGCACTGAACAAAATACATGCCACAAACCACACCCCACTGTGTTTTTAGAAAGTTTTCCTATTATGCATGCAAAAGATCAGAAACAATTAGAAAAATTGCCATATAGTAAAACTAGGGATAAAGGCTCTATAATAGCAAAGCAGTATAAAATCAAAGCTCTTACCAAGGAACTTTAAAAAATAGTATTACAATATTATAAAGTAGTTTTAGAAGATTGCATTGTCCATTCCAGATTATTTTATGAAATTTTAAAAAGTCAAGATTATAAACATTACAAAATTCTATATACATTATACAATTATATATACAATCCTTTAATGATACTAATATAATAATGAAAATAGAATTTTAGATACTAAAACACAAGCAGAAAATTACTTTGGAAGCAATTTTCTGCCTCATTTTCTGTATCAATTTACTTGCAGACAACATAGGTATGACCATTCCAAAGAGCAGTAAGAGTTCATTGAGAGGTTTTGTGATGGATAATTCATGCATTTTTATTATTAGATGACATGCAAAAATTTTGTGACTGTGACTGTTGCTTAACATGCATCAGTGGCCCTTTGCTTTGAGATACCTTGGAGTGCAGCTATAAAGTGTTCTGCTAAAACTGCACTCTGCCAGGTGAGTTTATTCCATCCTCCATCAGTTTTCTTACAGATTTTTGCCTCCTGATTTCTGGCAAGCCTTTGCTCTCAGTTCTAGGATCTGTGGTTGTTTCCTGCACACCCTGCATATGCTGAGCATCAATCTCTCCTAGTGTTCTGCCTTTTTCCCCATTCCCGGTTTTCTCTCCAGACACATTTGTGACACTAATCTCAGGAAGGACAAGGATGCCCAGTTCTGAAGTATCATTACTGTTGTCAGGTTGCTCTAGAATTGAAGATGATAAGACAAAATGATGGCTGAAACAAAACAAAATAAAAATGCAAAACAAGAAAAACAAAAGACTCCGAAACACAAATTGGACAACTGATGTTATGAATTAAGCCAGCTACATTGGAGAAAGTTCCACAATTTATAATACACTGACAACACCGGATACCATAGGGCTTTTTAAAGGAAAAAGAAAAGCTTCACAGAGCATTGGTTCATGTTCTGCAATTTTTCACACGCATATTTCACATGGAATAGTTTTTTTGTAAATGAAAATAGAACTTCTATTGTTTGTGGCCAATTGAACTTATGTCTTGCCTTAGGCAAATGCTCAAAGTTGTATAGGAAAAAACTCTAGTAGCTCTTGGAACCAAGTCACAAAAAATCATTAGAAAACAAGACGCTTAGAAATTCCCCTTTGAATATTTTAAGTATTGAAGTATTGAAACTGACTCAATCAACCATAATATTGGGAAAACTACCTATCTACCTATAATACCATGGTTAGTAATGCCACAGGTTCAGTTTTTGTTTCACAGATCCCCTGTCTTACATAGTGACATGTATCTATCCTAGACTGGGTCTAGGATAGAATTAAGCAGTCCATTTCTTCAGACTAATACTCATTACATACATTTAGTCCCGCTCATAACAGTTCACTACTACACTGATGAAAAATGAAAATGGATTTGAAAATGGCTTTTAGTCCTTTATGGCAAAAAGAGCCATGAACAATTGAAACCATGAACAAAACTCCTAACTAATATCTAAAGACATGGCTTTGTGTTTTAAATCACAAAGTATGGTTATAAGTAAAAGCGCTCAAAGAAATATTTGTGACCAAAGGGGAAAAATAACATGAATATAGAATGGACTGGTAGTGAAATTTTAAATTCAAATAACACAAGTATATACTTGTGTTATATACCCATAAAACAGTATATACTTTAAAAAATATAGGCCACAAATCTTCTTGAGGGACATTTTCTTTTCAAATTGTTTAACAACAGAGTTGTCAAACTCTACCAGTGCTAAGCCTGAGAAGCAGTATTCGGCAATAAAATAGCAAAGGCTAGAATCATGACTTCCTGAGGTAGTCTACCTTTGTAGTTCAGTGGTTATCACCCATGCCTGGCACCCAACCCCAAATATTCTGATTTACAGTTAATTAGTCTGAGGTCATTAATAGTCTGAAAGTTTGGAAACCACTGCTTATTCTGACTCTTTCATATTTTGAAAACTTCAATGTTGTTATGAGTACCCTAAACATTTCCAACAGTCCTCTCCTCAAAGTCCTCTTGCCCTCTACTGGTGAGCTGTTTGCTGGTATAACTATCTCTCTTCAATTTCATGTTTCATACACATTTGACTAAAGGTTCTCTAAAGGAAATTTGGAGAAGGATTTTAGTGAGGCCTGCTGGAGTGCTGATGCTTCTAGATGCTCTCTAATATAGGTTTAATGAGACTAAAATTTCCAACCAAGCCTATTCCAACTGCTGACACCTAACAGCTGTCTTGAAAGACAGGGCAAAAAAATTCTTACATTCCAGAGATCACTGTAACAGAAAAATCACCATGGTGCTGTTGGGTGATAGCCAAGATTTGTCCATTTACACTGCAGATGACATTTCATATAAGAACATTAAAAGGACCTTGAGTCCAAAGTAAAATCATAAATGGTAAAAAACTCCAGTCATAAAAATGAATATTTGGATTTGGTAAAATTTTAAAAGATATACATAAGCAGTCAGTGTGGAGTTTTTTTTGTTTGTTTTTAGAGCATGCACATATCAGTCAATATTCTCAAAACTACCAGTGAGCCTCTAAAGTAGACCAATTGATTCCCATTTACAGAAAAGGAAACTGAAGTTCAGAAAGTGCTACATAAATATTCAACAAAATAGTGAAATCTTTTACTTCAAATGTTCATTCTAACAAATTCTAACTCCTCAAATCGTTACCATTAACTTGAGTTAATAGCCTCTGACTATGTACTCAGTTAGATTTAATTTATTTGCTTAGATTCCTGGTCATTTCACAGGAAGTACATAATTTACTTTGGCTAAATAAGAAGCTAGAGAAAATAAATTCTAGAGGAAAATCAAAGTCATAACCCTTAAGGTTTGCTTATTTTTTATATTTCTTTGTTTTTTTTAAAGTTATTCATTTAAAATGGTGCTTCAATGGTGGAAATACGCAAGAAAACCTAAAAGTGACAAGAATTTTACATAAATAGCATTAGACACTGGAATTGTTAATCACACTTATCAGGATAGTGGTAAAGATCTGCAGCCCAACAAGAAATGATATTAATTATTTTTTAATCATGAAATTAAATGGCATATAGAAGAATGAGATCATGTGTTTTCCCACAAGAACAAATCTTTTACTAATTAACCAATGTATAATAAATATTAACAGTGTAAAATTTTAAACTGCTTATAAATTCATAGAAAAGAAAGGCTTGTCATTCTGTGCAGAGCAAGTAAAACCAGAACATAATTCCTGGGGAAATTACAGATTAAAGATAATTATATAATCAAAAAAATATCTGCTATATGATCTTTTTCCCTAATGTCTTTTTCACTTCTTCCCCTGTGTAAGTCTGGCCAGCCTATCCACATATATCATCTCCTAGCTCTCCTCCAAGCAACACATGTTTCTCCTTGTATGGAAGGATTCATCTCCTCACTTCCTTCAGGTCTTTTCTTAGAACCCAGCAGTTTTAATACCCTCTATTTTGTTTTTTCCTAGAACTTATGAATCTCTTAACTTACAGTCACTTTTCTTGTTTTCTAGGTGTTTTTACTAGGTAAGTATAACTTCCAAGAAGACAGAAATTTTTGTCTGGTTACTGCTACCTAACTAATACCGAGGAAATTAGCTTGCATATAGTATACAATACATATTTTGATGAATTGAAAATCTTTTGTTATTGATGTAATTTTTAATTGTAAAGTTTAAAAAACAGGTAGGAGACAAGAAAAATGTAAACAGTAAACATGCTTTTTTCTAGTTAAATAAGAACATATGTATATATATTTTATTTTTTTGCTGGTTATGGGACCTGAACTCTGGGCCTGGGCGCTGTCCCTCAGCTCTTCAGCTCAAGGCTAGCGCTCTACCAATTGAGCCACAGTGCCACTTCCAGCTTCTTCTGCTTACGTGGTGTTGAAGAATCAAACCCAGGGCCTCATGCATGCAAAGCAAGCACTCTAATACTGAGCCACCTTCCCAGCCCCCTAATGAATATATTTTTATGGCAAAGTAATGGTTCTTTGTTTCGCAAAAGTGAAATAGCCACTATAAATGAAGATTTGATAACATACTAAAAGTAATATAAAAAGAGTAAAGTAATACTTAAAAGATTATTTTGTAAAATCTAGTTTTTTTTTGGTTCATTCCCTCAATCCTATCTACTCAGGAGGCTGATATCTGAGAATCATGGTTCAAAGCCAACTTGGGAAGAAAAATCCATGATATTCTTATCTCCTAAAGCACCAAAAAAGCTAAAAGTGTGTCTGTGGCTCAAGTGATACAGAGCTAGTCTTAAGCAAAAAAGCTCAGTGCCCAGGTCCTGAGTTGAAGTCTCAGGACTAGCACACACAAACACACACACACACACACACACACACACACACACACACACACGAAAAAAAATCTAGTTCTTTTAAAATTTCATTTTCCAAAAATATAGCTTGGGGGAGACAGTTAAAATCTTTCAAGAAAGGCATATAGAAGATTAGTAAGGAAATACAAATTTAAGAATAGAATTTGTGGTGGGTGACAGTTCCCATGCCTGTAATCCTATCTACTCAGGAGGCTGAGATCTGAGGATAGAAATTCAAAGCAACCCAGGCAAACAAATGCCTGAGATGCTCATTTCCAATTAACTAGCAAAAAAAT